TATACCCTTCGAAGCAGGCCATGCGAGTGAACCCACACACTGAGATCAAATTGATTCTTTACTGCTGAGATGATACAACAGTGTCCCGATTATCTCTGCTAGCTACAGTGTGATCCTACAAATTGCGTAAAATTTGCTTTGTACATCTAATCAGCTCTGCCGATCTCTTCTCTACTAAAAATTGAGTCCCAGAGAAATGAAAATATGTTTATTCTGAAAGCTTTAAGATAAAAGTTAGTAGGCGTAAGAACCAGTTATAGAAGACGTGCAAGAGGATATAGAAAGTTCTGGTGTAACTAAGCTGAAATCATCAATTTAGTTCAGTCAACGACATCGTGAAGACTTTTCTTCTTTGGGATGCATACCAAGAGGGATAATGCATGATGCTAAATCACAGGCAGCATGGCAGTAAACAATGACTGGTCTACTGCTCCAGACAACACCTCATGACTTGAGAGTCATGACTTGCTAGATTTCTTACGGAACAAGTAAAGAATGGGGTAAATAAATCAACAAGAGTTTCAAGAAATTCCAATGATAAAAGTCGAAGTTGCAAATATTAGGCGTCAAATGTTTGACGAATTTGATCCAGTCACTCACCTGCCTTTTTATTACGTACACCTGTGTTCTATTGCCAATCACACGGCAGACACTGGATGAATGGCACCCTTCTGTAGTCAAAACATCCAGCAGAAGTATAGCTTCCCTTTGTGTCAGAAATTTAAAGTTCCTCTGCTTTGTTTTTCCCTCGACTCCATGCAATTGTGATATTATTGCAAATAAGCTGATTTTCTTCACTTTTCTCTTTCCTTCATCTCGTTGTGATTTCTTTGTAGCTTTAATATTTCAATTTCTAACGTCTATGAGAGGTTTGATCATCAGGGGCAACGATGGCCTATTAAACATGTTTCCTTATTTGCATGCAGATTTTTGCTGCCCATTACTTACATTACAATTGTGCCACCGCACTCTGAAACTATGATGACGATTGTCATTTTAATATAATGTCCGGTTGTAGTTTCTGTCTTAGTCAAGAGGGAAACCTGAGGAGAAGACGACATCCTTAGATTCTCAATGCTCAGATTTAAAGATCATTCTGAATTCTTCTTTTATCCTTGGTCTTTCTTTCTGCAGGGGTTTTTTTTTTATCATGGCAGTTGTTGCGTAACTTTGGCTCAGCTATCAGTTTGGGGGAGTTAAACCAACAGAACATATAGCAGTGAGAAAGAAAGAAATCTTAATGATATTCTACACCGCCTAAGGGTTTTCACGACTATGAAATAGGCCAAAAGCATCTCGGGCTTGTAAGAAATGAACTCTGAGAAACAGCTCAATATTACACCGAGGTGTCAAACACTGAATTTACTCTCCCAAACAAAGAAACCTTGATCTACAGCCAAAGAGCTACAGGACACAGAGATTATAATAAAGACACATAAGTGAAGCACAAGAAAGCAGAAATAATGAGGCTGCTATGAATGGTAAAACTCCAGGACAGAGATGGGAGATTGGCCCAGACTTTCTATATAAGGAAAATGATCCTGTGAGTAATGTGCACAGCCCAGACAGACAGACAGACAGACCACTCACATCTTAACTATTTGGCTTTTCCTCCTAACATAGTCCACATTGTGAGCGTTCTGTGGCAAAGCTCCATGGATAAACAGCTTGAAGGTTCAGTGCAGCTGGACCACCTTCACATGATAAACTCTGCATAAATTGCATATATTTAGAAGGACAATGGTTTGCAAACCCTACAATAACAAGAAGGAAACAGTTGTCAGTGGAGGAAAAATGTTGCACATTCAAGAAGATAATAGCGCAACTTTAAAGAACATAATGAATGGCCACTCACTCTAAACACACATGGAGCGAATGATCAGAGTGGGATAAAGCAGCAGGATCAGTAATTGTTTGCAGGAGAGACTCGTGGTTACAAATCACTGCCTGTTCTTACCCAGAAGCTCTTTAGGAACATCAGACGATTCTTCACTCATTTTTTCTGGAGAGAGATATTCCCAAACAGCGCCGAGAACTGAGTCAACACATGGAGAAGCCCTTAATTTGGAGGGGAATAATGAGGAGAGGGGAAGAGAAGTGTCAGGTGGTGGTAGTGCGGTTCTCCCAGTTACATGCTCCTCTCCTCCGCTCCTGTCCGGACAATGTATCCGCGTTTTGGTGGACGCATCTCCTCTTGGTGAGTAAAATTCCCCTCCGTTCCGAGGTCTTATAATATGAACAAAGGCGGAAAAAAAAACAAAATGAGGTATTGTTTAAATCAAATCAAAGCCCGGAGCCTCGGGTGCATGAAAGGACCACTGTTCTGAAACATCTTTTCCTCCGTGGCCCTATCGGAAAGCCGTCGGTATTACAGTGCAAACCAGTAGTATTGAACGGAGCCCCTCCCCGCTCGGTGATGCCACAGCCGGGAGCCGATACGATGCTGGGGCGTCATGGCGTGGCAGAAAGGGGCGTCGAAGATGGTGGTGACAGACTGTTATTAATGAGACGTCTACATAGGTGGATTCTGTGAAACAGTGACTCCTAGCGGTTATGTAAGCTTACTGACCCCAAGACATAGGAATAGAAATTGACAGTAAATCCTTAAAATATTATTTAGGGAATTATTGTATATTCCAAAAGTAAAGAAACATAGGGTCCTCTACTACGGTTAATCACAGACATTGTAGAATAAAAAGGAGGAAATTTACTCTGAAAAAAAATGAAATTTTGAGATTATCTTAGAAATTTTCTAAAAATAAATAAATAAATAAAATAAAAAAAAGAAAGACATTTCTGAGTTTACAAAGTCAAAAATGTCCAAGAAAAAACTAAGTTATCCATGTGTTGAGGAAACAGATCAGTCCCAAATCCTCACACTATGACCATGTTTTGACTTTATGATGCCCTGTTGCTCGTTGGTTGAGTTAGTTTTAGGTCAGATATAACACAACACACACCTTCCAAAAACAAAAACAAAAATACAAGTTTTATCTCGCATGTCACAATTAGGCTGACAAAACTATTTAGATCAATATCTATTTTCCCTGGATTGATGACGAAGTTGTATAGTCTTATTGGCGTGAATGACATTTGGGATAATATTTTATCATCTGCATTACTCTGGTTTAGGTAAATCCTTTTGAGTAGGGTTCATTATGTGGAGAAAACGTAGACTTTCACAAACACTGCATGGCTTTCTGTTTTTTGGACGCATCTAAGAGTAGGAAACTGGACTGGAGCAGAAATCATGTCTACCAAAATCCCGCTGAAAAAGTTTTAAAATTATGATGCCTTCATTTAAATTGTTGATTTTCCTGGATCAAACCAAACCTGGCATTCAACTTTTACAATGATTGGTGAATGATGAACATATCAAATTCTCGAAGCATATACTTCCGGTACCTCTAGAGAAGTGAAACAGCGCCATCTTGTGTCCACATATTACAATTACATAAGAGCTGAGTTGGTGAAAACAACGTTAACTTGATGTCGGTGCTTTACGTGAGCTGTTTAACGTTTCAGACATTTCTTTCACTACATTTCCCAACAACTATTATACAAATTATAGTTCAGTATTTTTTTTATTCTGCCACTGGATATATGGACACCAGCAGTCCTGTAAGGTTAAGCAGGGATGAATGGATGACTTATTCCTCTTTATGGATATTAATGGGAAAATCATGTCAACTTCAACAATTAAAGGTAATTAACTCCTTTATATCTTATTTTTATGACATAAAAGTGAACATTTTGGGACTACTCATGACTTGTTTTATTGTCAATATATCACGTCATGGAAATATCTGCACCAAGTTGGAACTAAGCTTGAGTTGATCTTTTTTTTTTTTTCTTAATCTGTGAAAAAGAAATGGGCTGCATTGTGTTGCAGCTAAATGCTCAGTTCCCCTGCAGCAACAAGGTTCTGACTTTTAAATTCAGGCCAGGGCCTTTATGTATGGAGTATGCACATTCTTCCTGTGTCTGTTTTTTCTCTGAGTACTCCTGTGTCCTCCTACATTTCATATTTTAGATTAATTTAAGTTTCTCTTAGCTTCATGGCTGTTTCTGCTAACAGACAAACAGCGTGCATCCCTATAATGACCACTGGAGATAGAAAACACCCTGCATGGATAATCAGGTAGGACATTTGAATGAAAATAAGAAATGTGTTTAGAATAATTTCATAATTTCATTCCACTGACACAACATTGATAAATGTTATCTGAATAAAAACTGATATCTTTACAGGGAAATGGTGAGCTTCCTGTGATTTGATCAAACCTGTCATGTAGCTTCTATCCTGACTGATGCTCATTGTTGAAAAATGCAAATAACTCCATAGATAGTAAAAAGTCATTACAAATCTAATTCGGGTTCAAAACAGAAACACCGTTAGATTGTGAATTGAAATATGAATAGATACAGTTCCATTCATTCCTAAAGCCCTAATGTACATAACTATCTGACTCATTACGTTTTCACTTCTGTTGCTGAGTTTTGATGGTGGAAGTTCTGCGATCAGATAGTCAAATAAGGAACTCATCTGAATATGTGGGTGTTTTCCTGTTATCCATTGAGTCAAACTCCCAAAAGGTCAAATTTCTTCTTGTGTAAAGGAAAGTTAATATTTTGAGATGTGCATAAACTTGATTAGGAAGTCTTGTTGAAAGTTATGTTTCATTAAACATTATTAAGAACATAAGGACTTTCCTGAGTTACTTAAAACAACTTCAACTTTATTTTTGTTGCCGTACGAGAACAGTTTATAAATTCAGTTTGACTTCATGTAATTTACAAAACATTTTACATTCCTTTCACAACATTCTAAAGCTTATTTTTGACACAAATATAGTTCAGTACTTCACCGGGATATTCAAAAAACGTCATTACGCTACTATGAATGGCAACCTGGCCCATCATACAGGAAACAAAAACAAAGAATGAACAGTTTTTTTTCCAGCCTATAGAGACATGAAGAACATTTAGTAATACTGATAACCTCTGTTGCTCCCAATAATGCTGCACATGATTGCAAAATTAAAAGAGTTCTGTAAAAAAAATATGTTCAGTAAACGCACACTACGAGAAAGGATGTTTAAGTTCAGCACAGGCTCCTCACATGGGTTTTATAAACTGCAGGTAGGATTCCGCTGCTTAATTTCATCAAAGATGCTTTCTAGTTTAGTTCCTATGGAGCTAAACTGGGAATTCCTCATGGTTTTAGCCAGCTGTTTGAGCTGCTCTGAAGTAGCCTGGGCCAGCCACACTCTGATCACATCTACAAGAGGGCCTCTCTGCTTTGGTAGAGCTGAGTCTCCGGTGAAATCATCCTCTTGATCCTTCTGAATGATCCTGTTGTAGGGGGGGATAAAAAAGGTGATTTAAGCTTTAAAGAAAAGAGCAAATAATAGATGAAAAATGTCATAGCAGAAAAGTTTAAGTGTGATCTCACTTGTGAATCAGTCTTTTTAAATCTCTTCTTGGTATCCTGCTCCCAGTGAGTGATGCAGACAGGACTGCTCTGAGGTCATCACCTGTGGATGAGAATACCAGATGTTTCGATTAAAGTCTAAATGTCTCGCCTTACCAAAACTTACTAACCCACTCTGTGAATTTCATTAGAGTTTTGAGTCATATGACATTCCAGACTCGAGGTCCTTACCTCCGTTTGCGAGACTTTCACAGGTGCCACAAACTGTGTCGTGGAACGCTGAGCCTTGGAGGAGCATGACGTTTTCCCCTGAGCAGTCCTGATGTTTTACACACTGATCCGAGGCGGAAGATGAGTTGGAAAAATGCCCTTTGAGACATTTTTCACACACGGTGTCATTTCTTGGTGTACCTACAACAGAAAAAAAAAAAAAAAAGTGTCATTACATTGAATTGGGAGCAATTGTGAAATAATCTAATTGTTCATATTAATACCTGACTATGTGTAATAAAGCTGGCGTTACCTATAGCCTGAACTCCATGTCCAGGGCCACATTCTGTGTGTCTGACACAGAAGTCCTCCATCATGTAAAACCCTGCTTTGCAACGACAGACTCTGTTGTTGGTTACAGAGCACTCGGTCTCCACCTCCTGGTTCTGTGAGCAGAAGTTGTTGCAGTACAGACACCTGTTGAGGTAGTTCCACAGCTCCGTGTAGTGGTCACTCTGACAGGTTGCGCACTGCGTTTCCATGGTGGCAGTGCAGTGAGCGGTGCGGTAAGTTCCCGGTTTGCACTGTTTGCACTGGAGAATTTCACCTGTTGTCCGGTCTTGGTGTTCGTAGGTGGGATCCTCTGCGGCGCACAAGAGAATGCCAGGGCACAGGAGCAGGACTGACAGGTAGAGCTGAGGAGAGAATTATTAAAGGATGAGAAATGACACACTCATTTCTCATCCTGTTCATTTTGGTCCCTGGTAATGTCATTTTCTTCTAAACATAGCTTATTGCAGGTCTCACAGCCATCCTCTAAAACATAATTTTGAGATTTTTTTTGAAAAATACATGCTGTATCTCTCAATCAGTTAAATAAACACATGAGTAACCAGCCCCTTTTTCATTTAAAATGCTCTGTCATGTTTGTTCAGGTTTGGAAAAAAAAAAAAAAAAAATCTCTACTTTGGCATCAGTTCAAGTAAAACATATTTGAGTTTCATTCATTATTAAAGCTATTATTCAGACACTCACCATGCTCATGATGTCTTCACTTCTTTAAAGTGGATTTGACATCGGGAGCAGATTCAGTGACTTTTTATAAGGAAGTTATTGCGTAGGTGGTTTGTCTGTGGTGTAATCTTTTGATTGACTTACGTTGAAAGGTCAATCGGGTTCCATGTGATGCACACACGCACAGAGATGTAAATCAGGTTGCTAAGATACGCTTGTCAGCCATGACTGCTACATGTGACTAAGTAGCAGAAAATCATTTTAAAAAAAGCTGATTTTCTTTCATTTTGATGGCATGTAGCATTGAATCATGCTGTAGTTCTAGTGAAAACATGTTTCTCCCATGTTCATGAAAATGAGGAAAGTAAATAAAATATAATGACAATCAGTGTGGTGGTGGTGTTAAAGACTCAGACTTAAATTAAATTAGCTTGGCTAAAAGCCGATGCACGCTGAACTACCTGCTAAATAAACCTAGGCAGAAATTATTATTTTTTTATCTGATTAATTCACATTTCCATTTATCTAGCTCTTCTCAGTGTGCTGGTCACTTCCTTAAAACAAAAGGTGAAAGTGTCTCATTACATAATATGAATTGACTGACATTTGAATTACATGAAGTAAAAATGAACACCGCTCTTTAAATTCAATAACTGCAAAGACATTTTTTTTTCCAACGCATGGTTTGCAAGTTGCTGAAGTTGTTTAAAGACGTAGCAAAAGTTTTCAAGCAAATATACTTTTTTGCACAACTTGTAAAACTCCTGCTTCCCCAGCTTTCAGGAAATGTCTCTTCTCTGACATCTGCATGACTACGTGTAATTTTACTCCACTTTGTAACATTTGAAAAACCTGAATAATAATTTTCTGCTCACTGGTGAAAACGAGGTTGATAATTTCCCGCTTTTCTTTGAAGAACACGTCAGTGACTCAGAGGTGTGAATAGTAGAACAATTTGCTGAGTTTGAAAAGTTTGGGTATGTGAGTCCCTGGTGACTCAGACGGTTACACGTGTCATCAGTTCCTGTATTCATGGAGCACTATACTACTGACAGGCAGTGTCAGTGCAATTTGGCTGAATAGACTAATTTTATGCTTTGCTTGACATTTTGTGATATTCTATGCTTAACTACCTAGCTATGATTTTTTCCCCCAAAATGTTCTGATTAGAAAAAGACTTAATTATTTTTTCACAAAAGTAAATTTTTATATTAAAATCAGTATAAGGATTATTTTTTTTACCCCTTTCTTTACTAAAACGTCTTAAATCCACCTTTTACAATAACAGAAACTTCCATTGCAGATTCAGCTGAAAAAATGTTAGAACTGTGTGTCTAATAGCACTTAGAAGAGTCAAATGTAAACTCATCCTCTACCTACTTGCCAAATTATCAATTTGGTTTTGCCTATTTTACTTTAGCCTGTTTTGTTCTCATAATTTAGATTTTCACGAGAAATTACTGAAATACACATAGACATCCATTTGAACATTAGCAGAACTTAATTAGATGATGTATCACTGACGCAATATGGATATAATTAAATGACAGCTAGTGCTTTGTGTCTGAACAAAGATGGTGCAAGATAAACAGAATATCTTTGTTCTTCTTCTGGGCTGGAGCAGATACTTGTTCCGAATTTCCCCCCAAGGATGCGGTTAACTTCTACATTCCAAGAAGTCGGTGCAATGCTTTACTTCAATGAAAATCTCCCGTTGATCATGGCCTGTCAGTGTTTCTTTCACTTTCACCAGAAGCACAGGAGGTTCCCCTGTGGACCGTAAGTGACCAGTATCCTTCTTTGAAGAGATAAAAAAAAAAAAAAAAAACCCTAGAAGAGTAAATGAATCGGCTCTTTCCCTTTCAGTAATAAAACAACCATGCCATCAACACTCTGACAACAAAGAAGCTAGCTGGTCAAACCATAAAATTAGAACTCATTTAACTGAATTCAATTCGGTTTATTTAAATGGCACCAAATCTCAACAGGTATGTTACAGGATGGTAACGTCCATCACCAAGTATATGCATATGATTCGCATAAAGTTTTTATTATAAATTTGTCATCAGA